TGTAGAGGAAAGCTATTGACTTTTGTGTGTTGACCTTGTAACCAGCTACTTGACTAAATTTGGTTATTAAGTCTAGAAGACTTTTGGTGGAGTTCTTGGGGTCTTCTGGCATTTATGACTATACAACATTAAGTATATTTTCTCCCCTGGATAGGCAGAACCAATACAGTCAAAATGGCCATACTTTCAAAGTTGATATACAGATTTAACATGATCCCAATCAAAATAACAACAGCATTTTTCACAGAATTCAAGAAAACAATCCTAAAATTCATATGAAATCAGAAAAGACCCAGAATAGCAAAAGCAATCCTAGGTAAAAAGAAAAAGGCAGGAAGCATCATATTCTTGGACTTTAAGTTATACTACAAAGCTACTGAGATAAAAACAGCACAGTACTGGCACACATACAGACAAGAGGATCAATGGAACAGAATAGAGCAGGCAGAAACAACCCCAAGCACATTCAACTATTTGACTTTTTTTTTTTGGTACAGGGGATTGAACTCAGGACATGTGCTTGCCAGGCAGGCACAGTGCCACTGAGCTACATCCTTGGCCCTCATTTGATCTTTGACAAAGGGGCTAAAAACACACCCTAGAGGGCCGGGGATTTAGCTCAGTGGTTCCACCGCCTGCCTCACAAGTGCAAGGTCCTGAGTTCAATCCCCAGTAACAACAACAAAAAAAAACCACACCCAAGAGGAAAGAGAGCCTCTTTAATAAATGGTGCTGGGAAAACTGGCTATCCATGTGCAGAAGACTGAATCTAGAACCACATCTCTCATACTAAAATAAAATCAAGATGGATCAAAGAACTAAATGTTAAAACAGGAACATTTAAACTGCTAGAAGATAAAATAGGTAAAATTCTTGAAGTCATAGGTGTAGGTCTGAACAGAACACCAGTTGCATAGGGAATAGTACCAACAATCAACAAATGGGATCACATCTAATTAAATTTAAAAGCTTCTGACAGCAAATCAACCAACCAACAGAGTGAAGAGACAACCTACAGAATGGGATAAAAATTTTGCCAGCTATTTTTCAGACAGAGGATTGATATCTAGAATATATAAAGAACTTAAAAAAAAAAATTAGAGCAAAGACCTGAGTTTGATCCCCGGTACCAAAAAAAAAAAAATGCAAAAAAATTTGGAGCTCCTCAAAAAATAAAAAGCCCAATCAAAAATGGGCAAGGGAAATGAACAAACACTTCTCAGAAGAACAAATAGAAATGGCCAATATATACGTGCAAAAATGTTCAACACTGCTGGGTATTAGAGAAATGCAAACTAAAACACCACTGAGATTCCATCTTACTTCAGAAAGAATGGCCATCATCAAGAAATCAAATAATAACAAATGCTAAAAATCACCATTATATATATTTAAATTGTACCAATTAACTTAATTAATAAAAAAATAACAAGTGCTGGTGAGGCAACCACTGTGGAGATCCGTATGGAGAGTCCTCAAAAAACTAAAACGAGAAATTCCATCTGACCCAGTTATTATCCTTCCAGGTGCTTCCTGAAAGAGCTAAAGACATATTACAGTGATACATACATATGTTTACAGGCAGCACAGCTCATAACAGCTAAATCTTTTTTTATAGCAAAACATTTATTGGTACATTTTAGGCATACATAATGATTAACACTCATTGTAAGGAATTTGTACTTGTACATGATACATCCTGCCTCTTGGAAGCAGCCTGTATGTCCATTCAACAGATAAATGGATGCTGGGCATGGTGGTACAAAGCTGCAAACCAAGCACTCTGTAGGCTGAGGCAGGAGGGTCACCATGAGTTCAAGGCCAGCCTGAACTACATAGCAAGACCCTGCCTCAAGTAAAAAAACCAAAAAACCCCCAAACAAACAGAACTTCCCCCCCAAACCCCCAGATGAATGGATAAAGAAAATGTAGAATGGATAAAGAAAATGTAGTATATACACACAATGGAGTACTACTGTGCCATAGACCAGGATAAGCTTGACTTATCTGTAGGAAAATGCATGCACCTTGAGACATAATGCTAAGTGAAATAAATCAGACACACAAGCTTAAGTATCACATGGCTTCTCTTATGAAAAACCCAAATTATAAATAAAGAGCAAAATAAAAGATACGTAACAGGAAGTAGGGAGGTAGATCTTTCTCAAACAGGAAGGGAACCAAGAGATGGAGGGAGGGGCGAGGGAGAGGAAGGAAAGGGGATGAAAACAGGAATAGTGGTCGAAATGGTATCCCACAATTGCTTACATTTGTATTTTCCTGATAACTAATTATGCTAAGCACGTTCTTCATGTGTGTTCTGGCCATTTATCTATTCTCTTTTCTGAAATAGCTTTTAAGTGTTGTCTTGGTT